AGAGAGGAGATCTGCTCCTGAATCCTCTTCATCTCTCTGCTGATAGTCTTCCCCTTCTGCTCCTCTTCCTCCCTCAGAGCTGCCAGTCTGGACTCCTCTTCCTCTTTCAGGAACTGGTGGAGCTTTTTGAACTCTGCTCTGATCTGTCTCTCTGTGGAAACCAGCTGCTCCTTGGAGTGTTGAAGCATATCATCGTATGTTTGCTCCACTTCTTTGTATTTTTCTTTCTTTTCCTGCAGAGGCTTTAAGTCAGATTTCAGCTTCTCCTTCAGCTCACTGATTGCTTGTTCCAGAGGAACCACTTTGTGGCTCTGGTGGAGAGAAAACTCACAGACAGGACAAACTGCTCTCTGATCGTCTTTACAGAATGATTTAGGGTGTTCTTGGTGTTTACTGCAGACCGCCATTAGCTGCCCCTCTCCTTTTTCTGTCTCAGATGATCCGGATTTCTGTCTTCCAGGAAAATGGTCACCCACGTCCTTTGATGCAAAATTTACATGTTCAAATTCTTTGGAAGATCTTCTCTTACAGATGGGACACTTCTTGTTTCCAGCCTGTTCCCAGAATGTCTTCAGGCAGCTGTAACAGAAGCTGTGGTAGCAGCTCAAAGTCACAGGATCTCTGAAAGTCTCTGAACAAATATAACAGCCCAGGAAAGGTTTAATGTCTGGTGTGTTTTCTGCCATTTTTCAAAGAGGTCTTTCAGAAACAGAAATCTGGGTTTGTTGTTTGGTTTGACACACTGTACTGTTGTTTCTTCTCAGTTTAACAGATAAAAATCACTTTTGTTTTCCTGTCTGTAATATTAATTTAAGATTTTGCCTCTCTTAAAGTTTGGTACAGCTTCGTCTTGTCCTGTAGACACAGCTGCTCCTTCAGCTGACTGGCTGCCTGCAATAGAGAAAGCACTTTATGACGCTGGAGAGAAAACTCACAGGCAGGACACACTACTCTCTAATCGTATTCACAGAATGATTTAGTGTCTTCATTGTTTACTGCAGACCACTATCAACTTCTTTGCTCATGTTTCTGTCTCAAATAAGCCTGAATTGATGTCCAGAAAAATAATCATCCAGTTCTCTCAAAGCAAAATGTGTAGCTGGTTCATCCTTGGAAGATCCTTCTTCACAGATGGGACAGTTTTTGCTGTTATTTGGTTCCCAGAGTTGCTGCTGGAAACTTGAACAGAAGCTGCTGTGACAGCTCAGAGGAAAAGGATCTCAGAAAGTCTCCGAACAAACACAGTAGCCCAGGAAATGTTCAAGATCAGAGATTTTTGAAGAATTGTCATAGAAGTCCTTTAGTACAAGAAATCCATGCATCAAAGCTTCTTCTCCTTTTCCTCCAAATTTCCTGAAACTTTTGTTTTTCCGTCCAGATCTCCTAGCCTGTAAATGTATCTCTCTCTCCCTCTTGGTTAAAAGACAATGAAGATTAAAATATATTCTCAGCTGCACATAACCAGTTAGACAAGTTCTCTGGTTAGTCCAGGTAAACATGTTGGTTCAGTTTTACCCAAGTATGATTTCCTTGTATAGTCACTGAACTCCTCCCTTTTATTCTGATGACTGTTTTTTTTCTCTTCTGGTTAATTCACTAATACCTTGCTTCATTTATGGGAGGGGCCAAAAATGATGACGTCCGAAGCCTCTCTACCGTGATACCTTGTTACAGCTTCAGGAAGTGGTTCAGATTGCACTCAAAACTTGACAGGTCCTTCACTCACCTTCAATAATCAATCAGGATGTGGGAGTTTGTAGGAGAGTTGCAGTCAGTTGAGTGTTTAGATAGAGTTTGGGGAGAGTTTGGAGACTGTTTAGAGTTTGGAGTTACAGATTTCTGAGTGAGTGTTTTCAAAGGCCAGTGAAGTTTTATATAAAAAAAAGGAATAGATTGAAACCCAAATGTATTGAAAAATTATTATTCTTGAACAAAACCGAATGACACTGACATGATTGAGGATCAAGACTCTGGCACAGCAGCAATTACGTACAACAGGAGAAAACTGTTTACTTGAAGGGTTTTATTATTCAGACTTGAAGCTGAGTAAGCAGGAAATCCAATGCGGTGTCTCACTGCAAAACAGGTACAGTAAAGAGATGAGTATGAGTTCCAACTGATGAGATGAACAATGAGGGCAGAAACAGGGCTTCACAGGGTTTGGAAACAGGCTGAGAAAAGGGGGGGCAACAGTATCCACACAGAGGGAGCGATCTGGATCTTTAGTTTGTGTTGGAGGGTGGACAGTCAGGGGATCTCCCTTGTAGAGGATCTTGGAAGGAAGCTTTTTGGGAGGAGTGGAAAGCATCCTTGTAGACGGCCACGAAGATGCAACCAGGAACCAGCCTTCAGAAGGAGGTAAACTAAAAAGAAATCAGAGAAAAACAACTGGTAAGAGGATGAGAACAAGTTAACTAACATAGAAGTCTTTTGATGTGGAACCCAGCTACCACTGGTATTAGGTAACCATCTGTCGTCTGCCTCAGGGAATCTGTTCCTCTAATACTGCTTCTTGATAGCGGTTGATTAGTGACAGCTGGGAGCTAAACCTACCTGGCACACCCTGAAAATGAAGGTGAGAGAACAAAAACCAAAACAGCTTTGTGGACACAACAGACACCTTTCATATTGCCCAAGTTGCACAAGCACTCTTACAGTCTGCTTGAGCTTATGTCACTAAAATGACAGAAAACGATGTACCTTAAAAGATTGTTCTCTTAGAAATGTTACATACACAAAACCTTATAAAGGATTTTATACACAATCATGAACAATTACAAAGTAACTGAAATGGGAACCAAAGCACAAACAATTGCAAGCATCACAGATTATTTTGCTAACTGTAGTTATGCACTCCACCAGTAGGTGGTGACATGTTAACAGGAGGCTTCATAAACTGTAGGGTTCATTGAAGAAATTTGGCCAAACTGTTCAATGCCTCATGAGGCTTCATTTCACCATCACTAGAAACGTTCCATAATGTTTCTGATTTCCTGATCTGCTTTTAATCCACTGAGAGCATCTGTTCCTGTATCTCAGTGGAGAGAGTGTTTTTTTTTTTTTTGCGTTCCGTAGTGTTTCTGGCTTCCTGATCTGCCTCGCATCAACTGAGTGTGCCTGTTCCTCTCTGCATGTTTTGCGAACTCCTGGAACCCTGTTCCGGTTCTGAGCTGTATCCCTGTCTGAAATTCGGACTCCTGGACCTCTGAGCACTCCTGTTTCCCTGACCTGGCTCGGACTCCTGCATGTTATCCAGGGCTGTAGCATCTGGGACACACGCCACACGCTGCATCTCATTGGCAGCCCACCAGCTGGATCCTAACTTATTCCATGGAGGTGGACTGAAATGTTAAACCAGGTTAGTGACTCACATGGATAATCATCCTCCTAATTGCAGTAATATTAGTGAAATAGGTTTTGTATTGAGGTATAGAAAATGAAGATATCAGTGAACAGACATGGAGAAAACTTTATTGGGGTTTTTTATTTTCAGTTTATCTGCTACAATGAACTGTTACAATTAAAAATAAAATGAAGAAGAAAATCCTTTTAAGAAATCTGAGCACGTTGTGTCTTTTCTGAAATTAGGATTTTACTTTAGAGAAAAAAAATAATTATCCTCGTTCAAATTATTTAGTATGAAAAAAGTCCTATGGTGGCGAGAGAGATTATAATAGGTTGACAAAGATCAGTAGATCTGGTTTTGAAAAAAACAAAAAAACAACTGTAAAATATGATGATTGTTAAGAGACTGATTCAGATTTGGATGTTGGAGTCTGACGTCTTCTTGATCTCATCTCAAAAATATTTTCTGTACTAAAAAATAACAAAACAAAATATTTATTGAATATTTTCCCTGAGAAATATATTTTCCCTAGAAATAATTGTCTAGATGTCTATCTTTATTTATTCTATAACAAAATATTTTCTCCCAAAACCTTTTTAGCTTCAAATAACGTCCGTTTTAAGAATGTTTTCCCTTTCCATGTTGCTTGTTGTCTTGAATTTGATAAAAACACA